GAAGCAACATGTAACGTAGTAAAAGATCCCAGAGATCTCAGCAGCGTAGCAACATGTAACGTAGTAAAAGATCCCAGAGATCTTAGCAACGTAGCAAAATGTAACGTAGTAAAAGATCCCAGAGATCTCAGCAACGTAGCAACATGTAACGTAGCACACGATCCCAGAGATCTTAGCAACGTAGCAATATATAATGCACGAAGTACAAGGAACGTTAACATGCCCCCCCACCCCACCCCACCCCACACCAAGCAGCAATACGCAAAAAAGTAGCAAAACGCACGTACGGTTTTCCTGCCGTAGGCTTAAACATGTTGGCTCAAGCTGGCATTCATTACATGTAGCGTTCATGCTTGCTTTAAGATTTTTTCCCCACCGACCACTGCCACTGGATTACGTTTCACTGCCTACCGTTGGATTACGTTTCACTGCCTTAGTCAGGTCGAAGTCCATTCTCGAGCATTCGCTTTGTGCTTTTTTAACATTCAGCATCCAGCCCAATAATTCAGATCCGTGATTCCATCTGGTCCACCATGGGTCCCATGGGAACTGGCATCCCTACTTTTCTCGTTCAGATGACTTGCATAGCCATTCCAGTACTCCGCATTTCGTTTGATTGCATGGCTTTTGCCACCCATTGGCGTTAGCTAGCACCTTAGTGATCGATCCGTCCGTGCCAGGACACACCAATTGATCATATTTTGCGCTTTGCCTTTAGGCATACCTGTGACTTGACAGGCTGCCTTTCCAATTGCATCTGAGTTTCCGCTCCCATTATTTGCATCCGACATTCGATGAATCCCCATCGACGACCGGTGGGTGAGATTAGTCCATTGATATAGATGGGTTTTGTTGCACCTGGAAATCCAGGGGACAAAGAATAAATATCCAGCAATGAAAAAGGAAGATCATATCAAAGCGCGCGAGAAACCAGTGGAAGGGGATGTCAGACATTTGGAAACGTTGGTGTCTTTTCATTTGAGCTGGTTTGCATTAAATACTAACCACCGCTAGAGCGTTTGTATATATATAGTGTTTTGTTTGGAATGTTTTGTACGCTTCTTGGTAATGTTTTGGTACTTGTTTTATCTATTCGTATGAGTTATAACTATATGCAATGAAATTTCACTTTGAAGAATGGAAAAAAAACCGAATGAACTGGAGGATGTCCTCAGGGACCTAGAAGGGTACCTGGAGGCAACACGTCTGTTGAGAATGAACCAGGAGATGAGACCCCTGTCCACCGATCAAACTACTGTCCTGGACAGAATGAGGGTGAAACGTATTGTGACAACGCTATGAGGATGGAGGAGTGTCGGCGTGTCATGGAGTATGAAAAAAAACCCGGACCACTAGGGCCAAGAGAACAAAGACCTTGAGGAAGAAACGACCACTCAGGAAGTCCAAGCAGAAGGGTTCAATTCCAGGACAGCAAGAATTGAGACAGCCTTAAACCCAATAGCGAATTGTAGCTGCAGGTGTGGATAGGTCGAAGCCGCGTTTTGCCCAAAATTGTGAACCGCCACATGAGGCAGGGCGTTAACATGTTAGAGAACATGTGAATATTAGCATGGCCTAACGAGTCATACATGGACATGCAAAACTGTGCAACCAATCCTTCAATTGGTTTGTAACTTTGAGTCGGGGAGCAATGTTGAGGCCAACGTGGTCTGATTTTCCACATTTTTCTAAAACCCAGTCTATGTGATGTGGTTGGTCGGTGTCGATTTAGTGCAATTTTTTGTTTACGATGCACGTTGCAATCATCGAACCATGACACTGTCGCGCTTTAGAAACATGATTTCCCCCAAATACATTTTTGGAAAAAAAATCATTGAAACACGGTCAAACAAAGAACACGCATGTATGCGTTTGTCCAATTGACGTTGTCAGTCTTTATGTGCAAACAATTTGCAATGTTGAATGGCAATTCCATATGGATTTTTTGTCGCAACATTTTACAGTCATGCGGAAAAACACCGAGACTTGGATTGTGGTTGTTGTAAATCCCAATGAAATTGCACGAAGAGGCACGAGCACACACACAAACACACCCACACCAATTGTTGCATGTGCGTTCTTTTCAAATCACACATCAATTTGAGTGGGTTCCGAGATTTTGGTGTGATGATTTTTTTGATATCAACTTTGTTGTGATTCACGGCGTTGCAAGTTTCAACAGCAATGGCAGATGGTGCTGGCAGCCGCAAACTCGAGAAATTTGTCTCAAATTTGTGATGTTATTGGGTTCCAAGTTCATTGCGTATGGTTCCGGTGAACGGCTAAAGTCTGTGTTTGCCGAGCGAATGCGAGGAAATATGTGGAGGTAGATTTAAATGCCACAATCAAGCGTTACGACGAGTTGTGGGAGGTTCAGGACGTGGGTTTGTTGTGAAATGCACCTCGAAGGCAACAGGTCGAGTATTGTAACGACGCGGCGTGCCACCTTGTTTGAATGATAGATGTAGTGATAGTTTTGCCCACACTTATCATTGGTGGCTGTACTTCATTGATTGTTCCGGCTGCATTTTGCCGTGGATGCTCGGACAGTGTAACCGTGTTTGGATCGCAATTTGTTGGACTGCAGAGAAGACTGCTCCAGGATTTGTTTGCAACATGAAATGCGTTTGAATCAATTTGATTTTGTTTCCAAGTTTCACGGTCCAGTTTTGGAATGGCTGGCAGGACCCAGAGGAGAACCCCTACAAAAGCAAATATGTGGCCAGAGAGATGCTGGAACTGGCGGCAACTCGGTGGTTTTGTGATTCAGGGCAATTAACATGTCAGTTTTTTCCGTGTTTGTCAAGGTTTCCACCGACCGAGGTCAAGGATTTGGAGAAACTGATCACAGAAGAGGAAGGGGCCCAGCCTGACAGTGCAGCGTTGAATTTGGGTCGTGAAGTGATGGCCAGGCCAGGGCCGCTGACTTTGAATCCAGCCTTGGTGGTTTCAAAAAATGTCCTCTGCAGGCTCTTGCTATTCTTGGGCAAGAACCTCTATTATTGTGAGGAGGTGCCAATGTTCACCATTTTCATGTTTTTTTTCGCGTTTGTGGGACTCTCACAGGTGTTTTTTTTTTCTGGCGACGCTGGATGCAAATGCATTTGATGTTCCTTTTGGATGAATGATTGTTGTAAAAAACTACAAGATTCAAACATGTTTGCTGCTATTGCCATGTTTCTGAGAATTAACTGGGTTTGCTGACTGGGATGGTTGACACACCTCACAATTTGTGCGAATATCTCGAACAATCAGTTGAACAATCCCACATCTTTGTTTAAATTTCTGGAGGCCAATTTTGGTCCACCTCAAATGGCAGCCTTTAACGTGCAGGTTCCGGGAGCTGAGAAGTACTTCATCCGTGCGTTGGAACGGTACTTGAGATCACCATTGCGATTGGAACCAGAACCGTTTTGCTTTATCCAGGAACTGACGTGGATCTGGATGGGAAAAAAACACAAAAAATAGGTTTTCCCTGCTACGTTTGGGATGATCGCTTGACTGTACATAAACAAATTTCAAGATTCGTGTTGTGAGTTGGACTGATTCAGAAATTTGGATCCATGTTGGTATTGTTAGTTGTATTCAGGCATCGGTTTCTTCTTTGAGTTTCTCGACGTCACAGGGACGTCACATGTCCCCAGAATGAGTGTAACGAGTGGCTGGTCGGCTGGTGCAGGATGTTTTCAACCAGCTTGGAATGCTGTGGTGCAACCGCGGTGGCCACAAGGTCGACCTCAGGGGATCGATTCGGTATGGGGTCAATCGGTCAATGATGTGTAGTAAACCCAAGAGTCAAATGTAGCAAACGTTGCTAACCCCCGTTAACCCCAAAAACTCAGTTTGAACATTTTGGGCGACATGGTTTGGAGATTCATAATGAATATAATGACATCATTTATGTCATGCAACCTCCCAAAATGGTAAAAATGGGTAACATTTTTCTACCACATTCAGAAACTGTCCATGAATTACAGTCCTGGGCATCCGAAGGAAGGGATGAACTTCCTCCGACGAGCACAAGTGATGTACCACCATCGACCTGAAGCGGTGAAAGAAGTTTGCGAAGAACGATGCGAGAATAACTACACCATGACCATGCTTCTTTGGTGCAGATAAGCCTCTGTCCTTGTTTCTTCCACATTTTGTTTGCAATTTTTGGAGGTTGCCGCCTTTCCACCCTGAGGTTTTACCTGGCACAAGCTTATGGTGCCCTCCAAAAGCCCTCGCTATCGGCGCGGTTTTGTGCTGAAACCATGAGCCGACAGTTGGAGGTGCCGCGGAAGGGCTCGTGTATCTGGAGCAGGAGCAACTTCGAATGATGATGGAATAAGAGACTAGGAGGCAAAGCCAATGCCAAGTCAAAAAACAATAGACGGAGTCTTTTTTTACTTGCTCAAAACATACCAACCACATTCAACCATCATGCAACAGGACTACAGGTGGCAATTTTTAATGCTTCAACAATTGATTTGTTGCAACCTGCTATCAGCCATTGCCCCACTGGCCCATCCACCTCGGGGCTCTTGCGCAGTCCAATACAGCTGGGCAGCGCAGCCCAGAAATTCGTGAACGCGATCCCTTTGATCCCAAAGAATGGATCAGGCACCATGCGGAGGTGTTTGACGTGTTGCAGCCCACAACCTGGAGACCCAGATATGAACTGCAATGGTCGGTGACATAAAACTGGACACCTGTAGTATAATTTTTGTCTGTCCATGTCTTGCACGATCCTTCTAGTCCCTCTGGAAGTCCCAGCACTCGTAGGAATTGCTGTGCCATCTCAGACTTCTTCGTGAACGAGGGGATGTTCTGGACAGCAGAGCCTTGAGCCGCGGAAGTTAGTGACACAAAGCCCCGAATGGTCATGACTGCAAGATTCTGCACCCCTCCAAGGGCCCCAAGAATTGTGGAATGCAACCATTCAAGCTGGCGCGCCCAAGGAATATCTGTTGCACAGTGGCCTTGTTCTTTGCGACCGAAGTCTGGAGATAGCTGGGATGGAACCCGAGAATTTGACGGAGCTCAAAGCCGAGTGTTGGCGCGACATTGGTAACATGCGCCTGGGATGGTGGATTTCAGGGCTGGTGGAGTTTGGTTTTCGGGGTGTGACCTACGAGGCAACCGTATTTGGGGATATCCACTGTGTGTTCCAGCGTGCTCTACAGGCTATCGATTTTAACAATATGGAAGGAGGCGGCCTGCAGTTGCAGTTACCCATAGATCAAATCACTGAGGTATGCCACTCGCTTGAAGTTTGCGCGTGCGTGCGCGGAGCGGCCTGATGCATGGGAAGAGGCGCAATATATACATATCATATATATATATTATATATATATATAGATTCATAGATATATTTAAGATACTGTTTTCCCAGACGAAAATGTGACATTCGCATACGCGTGACAGCAAAATTCAACTGAACGACACCAAGTAGATACTACTTTCTCTTGCCATGTTTTACACTTGGAAGTCAGTTCAGGCCGTGCTACTAGGAGCTGCCTGTCATGACACAGGTGTGGCGTGGGGAGCGACGAAAGGCAGATGACACAGGTGCTGCGGTGTCGCACGAGGCACCAAGCCCCTCTTGCCATAGGGATCTCAGTGGAATAAACCCACCAATTGCCATGGCCATCTCTGCCATCTCTGGATTTCGGGCATTACATTCCAGGCCCAGACATCTGGACATCTCAATTGTTTGATTCTTGATGATTATTATTGTTCTTATTCTTATGTCATTTCGATCAATCCATGCTTTTGGGGTCAGCCTCCGATTCATCACCCACGTTTGCTGTTAGGATTCCAACCCCATACCAACTAATGGGTTTGTTGGACAATAGTATTTAACAGTTGACTACAGTAATGAACCATGAATATTTACCATTATTTACCACTATCAATGATGGCAGTTGTTGATTTATCGGCCGAATTTAGAGATGCTGCTGACATCTCTCGGCAAGGGCACGAAACTCAGCTTCCGCGTGGCGGCTGACCGTGTTGAGCGGCCACCGGAGGGTGGCACTGGCACCATCCTATGGGACGACGTCTTCCCCGAGGCCTCCCGGCCTCCCGGTGCTGGTAAGCTGCATCTTTTGCGACCCAACGAAGTGAGGAAGCAACAAGTGTTCAGCACATACTGGTACCCGACATACCCTCTTCTAATCTAGCCTGCAATGGTGAAATCTATGTCATATACTGTTCTTCTATTGCCATGTTTGATTACAGGAAAGTAGTTTCCTTTTGTCATTTTGAGCCCTATCTTTGCTGTTCCTGGAGCGGAATTTCCACTTTCCAGCCATCAGGTCGTGTACCTTGAAGACGATGAAGCTCAGGATAATGTTCTGGCAGAAGAGCATGAGGCTGGTGTTAGGGCCCGTTAGGGATGACTGCAGGAAGCAAATGCTCTAGAAATTCAGCCAATCTCCCAGAGATGGAGGGATTTGTTGTTTTCTTTTGGGGTTAAGACATCCCTTCCCAGAGATCCAAGGTCCCTCCAAGGTCCTCCAGTTTTGAATGGCACCAGACAGGCTTCGCCTGATTTCAAAGAAGAACATGAGGCTCCAACCTTGCTGCGAAGTCCGGGTGTTGCAGGGTCCACAGCACATCGTCTGTGTCTCGTTTCTTTCTAAGTGGTAACATGCCAAAAACCTCTCAAGTCACGAAAGGTAGCGTCAGCTATCTGAGTTCTCCGTGCTTCAGCACAAGCATAGGGGGTATTGGGGGGCCAGCCCGGGCCAAACATGGAATTCTAGCCGTTATGTATTAGATATCAATTAAAATGGTCATGGGTTCAATTCCCGCGGGTGACGCGGTCACGGTCCGCCACAGTAGAGGCACACTCTCCATGAGGGAGATGTCCCTGTAGTTCAGCATAATTGGTTTGCTTCAGCCTCAATAACAGTTGCTGCAAGGGGTCTTAAAAAGGGGTTTTAAATAAACCCATTTTTGTGCATCATTTCACGCTGCACAAGACACCGTATCATGCAGTCATGCTCTGGATAAAATCATCTTAGACTGCGCAAAAACGTTTTTGGTGTATCATCTTAGGGGCGCAGCATTTTGACACCACTCCTCTCCCACTACACTACCTTTCGTCCGCCTCCGCCTGCTCTCAAGTGTAAAGGTCGTTTGGAGTCTAGAAATCAGGAGAATGTGATGTGGCTTTTTCATAAGTAGCTTACCATGCAAGACGTGGTGTTTGCATGCATTTTTGGGATCGTCAGGATCGATGGCTCCATTTGGGGCCCAATGACAAGATCTGCTTGCCCGTTCATTTCAGGCGCGTCAATTTGGTGTTTCTGCCAACAAAAAGCTACATCACTCAACAACCATGGTTTGAATTTGTGGACCACTGCACAGCACATGAGGCTTCCTACTTTGGTGATTTTTCACCCCAAATCATCCATTTATAGATTGGATGTTCCATGAAATGATTCGCATCAAGCTATTGGGGATCCCCCATTTATAGAACCCCCATATTCCGTTGATATACCACCAAACCAGAGGGTACCATTTATAGATCGGATCCCCCATTTATGGAACCCCCTATGAACCCCCTCGCGTAGCGTCACGGTAGATCTGTCGCCTTTTGCACACTTCCGGTGTTCAGCGACGAGGCTCCTGCATGAACATGTACAGCGCAGGATGTGTGGCTCGCTGGACGTGCAAAATTCCGGGGACGGCTAGAGCCCCGAATCAGATAGAAAAGTCATTTACAAGGGATAAACTTAAAATAGTTTGAAATAGGTTAAAATATAGTTTAAAATAGTTTAAATATGTAAGACTTCACTTCTCTGTCGGTTTTGGGTTGCTCTATAGTAAACATGGAAAAGACAGAGTAACTATCGTTCTTTGCTGGGAGTTTGCTCCTGTGGTTCTACACGATGCAGTCCCTAGAACGCTGCGTCGTATTTGTTGACTATCTATCTAGCAGATTTATCAGATTGAGATGTTTTGGGTAAGAAAGGATCGAGGCAGTTGAAGCACAGCCGTAACGTACTTCACTTAGTTTCACGTTTTGGTGGGTGATGTACCTATCTAACTGTGTTGACAACATTTTCAGAAACAGCCGTGCTTTCGGCACCCAATGTTTTTTTCCAACCATCCCTGATATTTTTGCCATAAATACTACCCAGGCCCAAGCCCAATAAAAAAGTCAGCCCATCTAGGCTTGGCTTTGTACTACCCCGAGGTCGGGCCAACACAGGCTTTCTGCAGCAACGGGGAGAGATTCCCAAAGGACGCTGGATTCCCTTGCAGCTCGTGTACTTTGCCCAGGAATTTGGAACTCTTTTTCAGGTCAGAATTGCAGATGGAAAAGATAATAGGTGGGAACCACGGTGGGAAGTCGATATTTGAGCATGATTTTTCACTTGATTTTGAAGTTCAAAACACAACTTGAGATGTTTTGGTGGATCCCAAGCTTGGTCTTTGGGGTCACATTTGTTTGAAGCTGGAGCTGCTGTAGGAGCTGACAAGGCACAGTACGGAACTGAGCCAAGTTTATTGTCAAATTATGTTTGTGTTTTGTTTGTAGCAGAGGAGGAATTTGCACAAAATTTGCGCTGGCAGTGTAGCTTTTGAACCAAGTGACATGGTGAATATGCATGAGATCCAAGTTATCCAAGTGATTTTGCTTCCATCGTTTGAGAGACTGGAGTTCTCACCACAGTAACCCTCACAAAATTGCCCGACACTCTGTCAACCAAGATAGTGGTACACTTGTTTTTTTCTCTTCCATGTGATTTTTTTTTTTTTAACAGAAAAATCACCATAAGCCATCATTTGTACCTCCAGACTCCAAATGTTATATAATGTACGGGCTTCCTGATAAACATTTGAGGATGGGGCCGAGGTCGCCACCCTCTTGTATCGGCACATCATTTGAAGCCGCGCGAGAGGTGTGTGGTGAAAGATGGATCGGGGGATATGGCGCCTTTTCCTTTTTCCATTTTTTGAAATAACATGTTTGGTTTCTCTCATTTTCTGTTTTTCATTCATTCCTGTAGGTATATCAGCGGGTTGAAACACCATGCCTTTGGTTCTCCACAAGTGAACATGTTGAATTCGATGTAGTTCTGTCTTGTCGGCAATTGAGTTTGAGACGGCCTCGCATGTTTTCTCCAACTTGCTTGCAGGTTGCTACTATGAACCAGAATTTGGCCCACCCCATCTGGTTTCAACAGATTGGATTGTTGGAACTATTGCAAAAGTGCACCTGAGGGTCTGATCCCCATGTTGTATAGAGCCCTGGCTGCCTTTCGCCGTTGTCATTTCCTGCAGATCTTCAAAATGGCGAATCATTTCTTTGTCATGGCATTGGAGTACTTTCTACTGGACGGCTGGGTCACAGAACACGTCAGGACCAGAACCCCTGCACTTTGCGATTGCTCGCTTGGGATCTCAAATCAGAGCTTTCCGAATTATTCGGCCTTCCTTTGCCGGTGATTAAAGTGGATCATCCTCAGCTGTGCGCGCTGTGCAGGATACTTCAAGAGCTATCCCAAATGTATCGCACGCTGCACTTCTGGGAGAAGGCTGGGACAATCAGACAGTGGCAGTTTTTGGGGCCGGTGTTTGATGGTGAAGAACTCAGGATCCAAAGCGATCCGCTGCCATGCTGAAGCGGAGAGCCCGTGTCCTTGGCCCTCCCCGGTGTTCCTGATGGGCTTGGGGGGTGTTGAGTTCTTTTGGGAAGATTGATAGATTTCATCTTCATCGATTTCTGCGGAAAGTTGGTGCTTTACAGTTTTGGGAATGCAGGAAGATGTCGTATCCTTGTGGTCAGAGCGTAGAGCGCAACTTTCCTGCAATCTGCTTTTCCTGTTGGAAATCGGGTTCAGAGCCACTTTGGTGATTAAGCTAAGATCAGCGACTCAAAAGGGTCTCAAATCTATAAAGCTGCAGCCTATCATCACACGTGAAACATGGGATAACGATGGACAAACATTCGTCGTCCAGTGCTGTCGTCGCCATCCCCGCAGCTTTATTCGCACAGCCGGGCTGAATGATGCTCTTAGTGCCTGGGCAATCCTCAGTGGGTGTGCTGAGGCATAGGTGGGACCCATTGGGACCCGTTGGGACAGCAATGTAGCATGTGGGACAGCAATGCAGCATGTGGTCGTGGTGCAGAACGTTGCTCATATTGATATGAGTGACGGTCAAAATGGCTGAAGACCACTTTAGTATTGAATGAGTTTTTTGTCAGAGATGTGCACGAAACACTGTAAAGCGATATGGCCCTCCCAAAAGCGATAATGACACAAGACACTGGGAAGCGATAACCGATAGTAACTAGCAACTAGGCTCACGGCTCATATTTCGCAAAGTGACATTCTGATGATGTCGATGTTGCAGTCAAATCAACGCAGTTCCATGGGGTGGACGTTTGCCCGGAGCCTATGTTTTTCGGGTAAAACGACCCGAGTTTTCAGCAGACCCCCACGAAGTCGGGGAAGGGTTCTTAACGTAAATTTCTGGTTCTCCCGGATCCTAGGTTTTCTCAGAAACTAAAAAATGGTGAAAACTCCATGTGTTACCACGGCGAATTGTGAGCCGTGGTCCAACTACTGAGATGTAAAGGATGTTGACGGGAGCTCGTATGAGGATAATTGTAATGATAAGATGAATATCAATGATCATGAAATATCATGATGATAATAAGATTCACAAACATATTTTCCCATTTTCTTTTTCTGGCCATGAGCTCGTTGAACAGCTTGCCAGGAATGTGAGGGGCCGATGAGAGAGCGCAGAGGACTGCTGAAGCGTGGAATGGCAATCCTATGGGGCACGAACAGGTAAGTGATCCAGAAATCTAGGACATCTTGGTGGTATAGAAAACAGCAATTTGAAACCTTCCAAGCTAATGGCGTTCATAGTTTACCTGAAGAATTAGCATATCGTCTTTGGACTCTAGGATCCTGTTGCAGCGATGAAAATTATGTGTACCGGCCAAGAATGTCGAACTTGGAACGCAAGAAACATCTACCAAGGGGTATACGGATTGCGTTAATTACATAAGTGATAAGTGTGTGAATACTCAAGTGACTCAACACCCACAATAAGTGAAACTGAGATCGCGCTATATAACATATCCGTCAAATATATATATATATATACCCAACATATACCCCATGATATCCCAGAACATATTCCCAAAGATGGTTGTCGTTTTCACCAAGCTGCTTAGTATGTTGATTCTTAACCATTCTTGAAGAATGGCCATTAAAACCCAAACAATCCAATGACATATCTCAGATCCCATGAAATATCCTATGTCCAATAAAATAGCCAATAAAAGATCCAACATTCCATAGAATTTCCCATGACATATCCAATGACATATCTTCAGAAACTGGTAGATATGGAATATGATCTACCAGTAGTACCGCACAAGGCGGTGGCGGAAATTTCAAAAATAGGAAACCTATAGGAGACGTGCGTTGTTGTGAATCACGGATGGCAGAGCGAACCGATTGATGGACCGAAAGGTGGTTGGAATGTCGATCTATCTATCTATTCATCCATCTATCTATCTATCTATCCATCCATCTTTCTATCTATCTATCCATCCATTTGTCTGTCTATCTGCCTATCTGCCTATCTGCCTATCTGCCTATTTGTCTCTTTATCTCTTTATCTCTTTATCTCTTTATCTATCTATCCATCCATCTATCGATCGATCTATCTATCTTCTATCTATCTATCTATCTACCTACCTATCCTTCTAGTTGTCGGTCTACTTATCCATCTGTCTATCTACCTATCCATCTATCTGTCTTTCCATCTATCTGCTTTGCTCTCTCTCTCTGTCTTTGCAGCCGTCTATCCATCAAACTGCCTGTCTATGTGTCTATCTGTCTATCTATCTTTCTTTCTATTTTTCTCTGTCGGGATCTATCCATTTCCTTGTCTATCTGTCTGTCTTTCCACTTGTCTTTCGGTCTATCCATCTATCTAGTTGTCTACCTGCTCATCCAGCTATCCATTCTATCCATTCAGTGCGACATTTGAACCGGGCAGAAAATACACAATCCACCGCTTCCAGCTACCTTGTGGTTTGCGTGCTCATGCCTGTATAGCCCGACGGAAAGCTGGCTGGAAAGCATTTTGCCCTCCACTTGGCAGAAAAGACACGGTGGACAAGCTACTCCGAGGGAAACACGAGAGCAAGGCAGCCTACGACATCGTCAGTCGGACCGGTGTAGGGCTGCAGAAAATTTGCGGTCAGAAACAACACACACACACCAGGCTTTTCTGCTGGGAGATAAACAGGTCAGAAAAGACACAATCGGCTGCTTTCACCTACGGTCGGGGTGCTCAGACCCTCTTCCTTGCGTCTACCTCTGCATTCACATAATTCCACCAAATAACAAGCAGAAGACACACAACCAACAGCAACATCCACACCTACACTACAATCATGTTGACTGACATGTCTGTCCCCCTTACATCACCGGTTACATCAACAATTCCAAGACATAGACTCCCAAACTTCTGCTGGCAAATTCCCATGACATGTGGAGTGTAATTGAGACACCGTCAAAAACGAAGCAATTCTGCGAGACCTGCTGGCTTTCTAAACTTGACAACATCGAAAACGTTGCAATTCTACAAGAATTCCTAGCTGTTTTAACTTCACAACATCGAAAGCGCAGCAATTCGATGCCAGGTCATACAAAGTGCTGCACCTGTCACGCAAAATCATCTCAGCAAACCTGAAGATCTGATGCTCCTAAATGCAGCCCTCTCAGGAAATCAGCGCCCTGACCTTCTAACTTCTCTGATGAACATGTCTCCTGTACTGCGCCTGCCACGGAAAATGCATCTTTGCAGATCCTCTTCAAATGTCCCACGCCTGCCATCGGTTTTGGAAATGCTGCAAAACCCTTAGGTGCACAATCCCTTGCGCCGGCCAGGTGAAACGACACCTGAACGTCCAAAAGTGTTCCGTAGCCGTCAGTTTTTTGCGCTTTTGACTTGGAAATATGTTTCGTGCCACAACGACGTGCACTTTTTCGACATCTGAACTTCCAAAAGTGCTCCGAACCTGGTGTGCTTTGTACATTTTGACTTGGAAATGTGCTTCGCGCCACAACGGCGTGCACTCTTTCGACATCTCAATGTCCAAACGTGGTGTGTTTTGTACATTTTGACTTGGAAATGTGCTTCGCGCCACAACAGCGAGCAATTTTTCATCTCTCATCTCCCCAGACAGCTCCGCACCCGCCGTTTTAGCGAGCCTACTTTTCGACCCTCCGCAGCCACAAATCATTGGAGAAACAGTGTTTCGCGACGTTGCCATTTTTTTCTCGCACCTGCATCTTCTATCTTCTGGCTTGACTCTTTCTCTTCTCTGATCTTCTTTCTTCTCTGTTCTCCTCTTCTCTTCTCTTCTCTTCTCTGGCTCTTCCCACCTCTGCTTTTTCATCTGTCCCTATTGTCGGAAGTTTGACTTCTAAACTTCCTTCGGCTATTCATGGAAGATTTTTCATGTTCTGCCCACTATTAATCATATTTGAATCACATTTCATGTGAAGTTTTTCATGGAAGACTTGTGGATCTATGGGATATGATCTACGTTTATCTATTATTCATGGGATATTTGACGCACATTATTTCATGGTTTTTCCACATTATCTACTTTTTCATGGGGATATTTGATGATATTTGATGGGTTATTTCATGGAAAAACCCACCATTTTCTTAGCATTTCACGGCGATGTGGGGCAGCAACGAGGAGATCACCGTGGCTCCACCACCCGCGACGCGCGCGATGGCCGCGATGGCCGCGATGGCCGCGATGGCCGCGATGGCCAGCCGCAGGTGGGACTTTTCAGCGTTTGTTGAGACTAATTGAATATAGTTGAAAAATGATATTTCTATACAACATTATGCAATTACAGTCACTAGACATTTTTTCATGTTTCAATATTTTTTTTTCATGTTCGAAGATGAATGTATGAATGAATTGGGGACGATCTTGGTGTATGTTTCATACAACCAATGGCCCAATGATTCCAGTGACAAAAATGGTTTCGGTCGCTTGGAAAACAAGAGTTGAATTTTTTTTGAGTCTTCAGGTGTCAGCACCACCGTTGACTGTGAGCCGCTGTCAAAATGAAACCATCAGCGACATCATCGCAGGGGGACCTGAGGGTTGAGTGTGATCCCAGCTGATTATCCGCCATCAAGATCTTTAAAATGGTTAAAATCCTTCGATTTTGCGCTTTTGATGCATGGAAGAAAACTGCAGCGGGGGAGATGCTCTGGTATCAGGGTGTGAGTTAAGACTTGGAGGGTGTGCCAAAAAGAGCACTGGGAGTTAATGGGGACATGGCTGAAAACGAACAATCACCCCACTGCGATTGCTTTGTTTCCTGACTCACTTTGGCCTGAGGCTGGGGTGTACATTCCAGCCAGCATGAACCACGGCAAGGTGGTGTATAAGAAGCAGGAACGATCTCGAGGTGCCATCATGGTGGGATCTGGTTGGGAGATGAAACTGGTAGCACATAGGTACTTGCATTTATTCGACATTTATGAACTATACACATACACGATTATGGTTCTTTATCATTCTTTATCATCACCCCTAGGATATCCGGATATGTAAATATATGCATTTGTACAATGTATAACAATGTATAACAATGTATAACAATGTATAAGTGTATGCGTATATGTTTGCCTATATGTATTACTACACAATACTGATCTTGGGCCCATCCTCTCCATGGAATCCAGGCCTCGATGTGCTCATCTACTACTGGGATGATCGGGATGGTGCGGTGCCAGCCATTTTGATCTCAATGGGGAAAACGTACAAAAAACTATTAAAAATGGCTATTTATAGTGGATTTTCCCATTAAAAATGGTGATTTTCAATAGCTATGTTAGTTTACCAGAGGGTATCTCAATGGGGAAAACTATGAGTCATGGGATGGAACTGAGTTCCAACGTTTTGAAACAGGCGAACATTGGAGAGTCCAGAGCGGATCAGGCTGATCAGGGATGTCATGTATCCGAAACTCTAATAATTTAGTATTGCAATGTATTTCAAGATTTTCTTGGAATCAACTCCGAATAAATTGATGTATTGACGTCGCTCATCTCTTGGAATCAACTCCGATTCGTGACACGCCTAGGTCCAGAGCTCTGTGGTTGGTGGTTTGGGCCCAATGTGGGTGGCGACCAGGCCATCAGAGGGTCCGGAACATGGCCGGATGGCGATGTCGCCAGCTGCCACCAGCCAGGTATGGGCCTATCATCCCAGTCGCACGGCCAGCACACCCCCGGCCTCTGAGTGGAACGTCCCGCATGATGGGCCCATCGACCCCAGCTTCAGCGTCTCAATGCGTTGGGCAGCCTACATCGGTCAGTTGGGTGGTTTCCTTTGAGGATAACTATGCCCTGTGTTGATCATTTCCAAAATTTATTATGCTGTGTTTCGGACTCTTTTGGTTTAAGAATCCTTTTCTACCATGTTGAATGTGGCATTTGAAAAAGATGTTTCGGGAAGTTGGAGCGGTTAAGATGTACCCGGTAGACGATTCCGCTATTGGACATGCAAAGTGTTGGGTTTCATGGATGACGATGACGTTGACGTTGACAATGATGATGATATGGGGATAGGATGGGATAGGTATTTGATGGGATGAACATCCCTTTACCATTTTAGGGTTCACCAGGGTACCGGGGTTTTGACTCATACCCATATGATGCTGCTGATGATGGTGGTGATGATGACAATGACCATGACGATGATGATGAACGGGATGATGTCAGTAATCAGAGCAAGTGCTTTGAAGTAGAAGAAGATTCTGAAGATTCTGTTTACCCTAACTGTTGGCCTTTACCTCCACAGCCCGGCACATCCAACGGCTTTCAGGGGCTGCGTCGGTGCCCTCAGGCACTTGGTGGGATACAAGGGCAATGGTGACTTTGGAAGGAGAATTTGTCTTTGCAAATTGTGGTTGCTCAAAAGATAGACCCTGGTCTTGGTTCGTTATAGAGATGCAAATATGATCATCGCACATTTTTGTTTCTTGCGAAAACTGATGATTTGGTCCCCACTCTTGGTCTGAACACCCAGCACATGCAATGTCTTTGAGCGAAGGCTCCAGCAGTTGAAAATCAACGGCTGTAGTAGCTGGTTTCAGGCTTGCTAAAATGGGTATGGGTCAAAACCTGTGGCATATGGGAACATATGAATGGAAGGATGAGCATTCCCAAAGTCGCAGTTGTTTTGAGTTGAAGACCAAGAGGATTCCAGGGTCTTGACCCATTCCCAAGAGTGAAAGGCCAGGAACTGAAACATGCAGTGATCTGAAATGATTTGAAGAGAGGAAAGCAAACCTCTACATCTGCAGCACTCTTGAATACACACACCGCTCACTGAACCAATGAAGTGTTTCAATGTTTTCAACCAGCCATTGAATCATCCCATGGCCCAAGCCATGCCTTGGTTGCGCTACCTGCGGAACAGCACCTACTACCACTTCTTCCGCAAGGCTCCACCGGTCGAGGAGCTCCACCAAGCCTCCAGTTACTGGGCCGCCTCCCAGTTGGGCGTCGTTCATCAAAACCCCACGCTGCGCAGCGTGTGGCTGATCCGCAACTGCCTGGATCTGCAGGGCCGTGGGAAGCTGCTGAGCTTGGTGCGGCGGCTCTCAACCGGCGCTGGTGGCGCTGGTGGCTGGTTTGGCTACGAGCTGGGCCGCTGGATGATGCCGCTGCACGCCCTGCCGGCCTTGGACGAGGCGCCACATCCACCGGGCTGTGGATTGGTGGAGGGCTTGGATGTCTTTGGGCCGCAGCAGCAGAGGGTTGCTGCGGCACCGGAGAAGTGGCTGAGGCTCGGAAAGCTTAGGAAAGAGCAGGTGATGGGAGCTGAGGAGATGTACCAGTTGCAAGAAATGCTGCCACAAAGGCGCCTGGAAGATAGACAGTTTGGCACTTTTTTTTTGAAAGGTTGGTTGCTGCAATGCAAAGTGATCCCGTTCGATTTAAAAAAAACACGCTTAGCAGGTTCGTTGTATTTTGTGTCATGGGAGCTTCATGCATGTGCCATACATCTAGCCCGGTCCATGGCACCCCTGCTTAGTCATAGACATATCATATAATATAAATGTTGGTGGTTTTCTCAAAGTTGAGATCCCTGATTTTGTTCCTCAACTTTCTTGACAATGGGATCACGTTGCTGCTCTTGTTGCAACCATTTGAGAGAACCACAATGTCATGCAACTCCTTTCGTATCTATTGACGTATCTATTTGTATATATGTCTGTAAATCTAAGGAACCACCGAACTCTCAAGACGCACGCACATGAATGACATCACAAATAGAAATAGATCTGGCACATCAACGGATCTAGCATAGACATAGATCTAAAATTACAGACACACAGACACAGACACACAGACATACACACATTCTCAACTTTAGTACTAAACCATCCCATTTTCGCCAGTGACTTTGACCCTTTACCAAGATTTAACGCTTTGCAACCTGATTCAACTGTGATGCAGAACTGGAGCTGCAAATTGTCGTGGGTCTTAAACTCTGATCAAATAGGTCAAATATTTGAGATGTATTCTGAAGCTCCAATTTTGGATTGAAATCCACCTGTCTTTTTTTTTTCGGTGAAACATGTGCTTACTGGTGCTAAACGCAGGGAATTTTCGGGAATGATCCATTTCATCACTAGTAATGTCATCATCCCAGCAACCCCCAGCAACCCATCCAGCAACCCGAGGATCGCCGCCTTCCAGCAGCAGCGCTGCCTCTTCATCCAGCTGCAACGCCTGGAACCGGGCGCGGAGGTCACGGCGCACCGTGATGCGCTGCCCTATGGGGGCGACCGCATCGCCACGGTAGTGCTGGAAGGAAGCAGCCAGGTGAGGGTAGGCCGGCGGTTTGGGGCCTGGGGCCCTGGGGGGATGATGGGGATGATGGGGATGGGATGGATTGAAGAACATGGAGAGCGGGTGAGCTTTATTGGCAGCCTTGCGGCTGTTGCAAGTGAGTTTTGGGTGAAACTTTGGACAAGCTTTGGGGCAGGGACCGTCGGATACCTTACGGCTATTTCAACATGTTGCTCATACCGCATACCGCTTACTTCATGTGGTCGAAGAGTACAAAATACAAGAAAACATGGTTCTTACCATTAAGTACAGGGGGTTCCTGCAAAGCTTCCCTAATACTTGGGCTAACTGTCTGCTGCTTTTGTTCCGTTGAGTCCTTGTGTTTGACAGGCAGTCAGACCTTCCAGGTAAATGCGGGTGATTGCTATGCAATCGCGGATGAAGCCAGATATGTGGTTGAGCACGAGGTGAGTATAGGGAGAGCCGTTCCCTGCAGTCGATGCTCAACCAACAAAAATGCAGGGTAAAGAACAACACATTGGGAAGAAAACGAACAAGAAATGGACATCTGAGCTCAATTGGGTGTAAGGGGCATACCACATACTGCCGGATTCCGTCCATTGATAGAAGCCTCACTGAGGTATTGTCCACATACACAAAACTTTGCAGGGTTATGTCGAGTTTTCCCGACACAGTTTTCGATGCTTCGTGGCCAGGTGAAGGCTGCTTCGTGCGATCGACTGAGTTTGACCTTTCGCTATGGACTGAGCAATTTGAAGGTCCTACCTGCCATGCCTGGAGAAGAGCTTCGGGCTGCTGACAGGGGAGGATCAGCTCTCTGGGAAGCTTGAGAGCAGAAAAACATGGGGAGATCTGAGATGGTATCCCTGCCCCATTGGAACACCATTTTGAAAGGCTGTGGAGTAGTAGAAAACCATTCTTGGATCGTTTGTCAGCTATGTCATGTTGTGTCATGTTATGCTATACTATACTATGCTATGTTATGTTCTGTTATGCAATGTTATTTTATGCAATGTTGCATAATGTAATGCCATGCAGTGTATACAGTATGTATCTATGTATCTATGTATCTATGTATCTATGTATCTATGTATCTATGTATCTATGTATCTATGTATCTATGTATCTATGTATCTATGTATCTATCTATCTATCTATCTATCTATCTATCTATGTATCTACGTACCTATGTATCTATCTATCTATCTATCTATCTATTCGTATATATATGTATGTATGTATGTATGTATGTATGTATGTTATGTTATGTTATGTTATGTCATGTCATGTAATGTAATGTAATGTAATGTAATGTATGTATGTATGTATGTATCTATGTATCTATGTATCTATGTATCTATGTATCTATGTATCTATGTATGTATCTATGTATGTATCGATGTATGTATCGATGTATGTATCTATGTATGTATCTATGTATGTATCTATGTATGTATCTATCTTTCTATCGTTCTATCTTTCTATCTTTCTATCTATCTATCTATTTATCATTTATCTATCGATCTAACAATCTATCAATCAATCTATCAATCAATCAATCTATCTATCAATCTATCTATCCTATCCTATCCTATCCTATCCTATCCTATCCTATCCTATTCCTACCCTATCCTACCCTATCTATCCTATCCTATCCTAGCCTAGCCTAGCCTAGCCTAGCCTATCCTATCCTATCCTATCTATCCCAACCTATCCTATCCTATCCTATCCTATCCTATCTATCCTATCTATCCTATCCTAATCCTATCCTTATCCTTATCCTTATCCTTATCCTTATCCTATCCTAATCCTATCCTAATCCTATCCCAATCCTATCCTAATCCTATCCTAATCCTATCCTAATCCTATCCTAATCCTATCCTAATCCTATCCTAATCCTATCCTATCCTGTCCTATCCTATCCTATCCTAATCCTAATCCTATCCTAATCCTATCCTATCCTATCCTATCCTAATCCTATCCTAATCCTATCCTAATCCTGATCCTAATCCTAATCCTATCCTAATCCTATCCTAATCCTAATCCTAATCCTAATCCTAATCCTATCCTAATCCTATCCTAATCCTATCCTAATCCTATCCTAATCCTATCCTAATCCTATCCTAATCCTATCCTAATCCTATCCTAATCCTATCCTAATCCTATCCTATCCTGTCCTGTCCTATCCTATCCTATCCTAATCCTATCCTAATCCTATCCTAATCCTATCCTAATCCTATCCTAATACTATCCTATCCTATCCTGTCCTGTCCTGTCCTATCCTATCCTATCCTATCCCATACCCACACGCACACACATTTTTTCATTCCTACCTGCTGCTCTTCCGGTGGCTTTTTCTCAACAGCCATAGTCTTCGCACCGCGCTCCGCGTCTATCGCCCCGTTAGCATTGCTTTGCTATCAGTCTGCCTAGAGCTTTTTTCGCTGCTCTTCCGGTGGCTTTTTCTCAACAGCCATAGTCTTCGCACCGCGCTCCGCGTCTATCGCCCCGTTAGCATTGCTTTGCACAGCTGCAGAGCTTCGAACCATGAGCTTCGCACGTGTGTTGTTCGCCTTCGGTCTTAGCCTCGTTGTGGCAGAGGAATCGCCCTCCCTACGAGGCCGACAGCCATCTTTTGGACATTTGGGTTGACCTGACAACTTACCCTTTGGTTATGACTAACAGTTCGCCATGGAAGCCATGGTCCATTTATAATATAGATGGTTTAGCTATGTTTAGCTATTAAAAATGGTGGATCTTTCCATGGCTATGTAACAAATAACCAGATGGTATGTATAATCCCCAATAATCCCCATGAATTATAGATAACATGATATAACATGATATAACCACCATTTTATCTGGTCATTAATGGCACTGTGCTTTTGGTGAAGCGAACCGCCACCATCCGGCCACAGGTGCACCTTCCACGTACAGCACCAAAGTGGCTTGCAGTGGCACTGGCGGCTTTTCTTCGGACAAGCCAGTCACTTGGCGGTGGATAGTTTTTTTTCTTTCATTTTGAGTTTCTTGGACGAAAAAACCTGAGTGATTTCTGCATGTTTGTTGCATCAAACATGCGACGGAGTTTAAAGTTGGCTGGCATTCTTTAGTTCTTGGGCTAAAGTCCGATTTTTTTTTGTTAGAAATGACTGCGCAATTGCAGGTATGCTATGGTGGCAATATCCTCTTTCAGTGTCTTGCTTGGATGGGGTGCGGGATGACATATTTTTGTCAGGGTGGGTCTCAAGATAGGTAGCGGTACAGCGAAAGCAGGTTGCTAATTGCGGGCAGACGGTTTCACCCAGTACCGGCATTTGCACCCTAATTTGATGTATTGACGGTCCGAGCTTGGAACCCAAAGAGTTACCACTAGTATCCATTAGTGATTTTCAGAAACCAAAATCAGCCAATTTTGGTGGATTTTGCAGGTCAACAAACTGAATTGGTTGGTTTCATCATGGTTGAGCCTCGGCAAAGCCCGAGGTCCTATACCTTGGAGATCACCAACTTTGATGGTTCTGACGGTGCCGTTGTCTGGAAGATGCGTGTTTGATCATAAGAACATGGTATATGATCAAATAATGTGAAATGATGCGTATGTAATTGTATAGATGGACGGACAGATGGGACAAAAACTCGGGACATTTGGGAGGGGTTAGCAGATATAGATATATGATATATGTATATATATAGTTTCTGCTTGAAGCATAGGGCGATGTTTAGTGTGATTCTGATGCTTCTGGCTCTGTTTAAGGGACCTTTCATAGGAGGGTTCATGCCCCCGCAGCCGTGCAACAAGTGTCGCGCGGTGCCGGCTGTGGAAGGTGATACGTGGTGCTACGGCTGCGCGGGCTGGGAGGCACTAGGCCGTGAGCTGACCGCGAGCTGGGACTCACCCGGCGCTCGCAGGTTAGCCGCGGACTTAGCTGTCACCGCGGCCCGGCAAGTCCGTGCACTGCGATCGTTGTCGGCGGGACTGGCCCGTCAACCTGAGGTGAGCCGCAGTGCTGGTACCACCGGTGCACCGCGAGCTTCACCTGTCGCCAGGCGCGGTCGAGAGTCCGACCGCGGCCAACGAGAGCGGCGGGAACGGAGCCGCTCTCGCCGAGGTGCTGATAAACATCTGGCACCTAAGGGGGAAGAAGAGAGTGAGGAGGAGGATCTTGATCAAGAACCGGAGGAGGACGAGCGCCGGCGAAGCCGAGCGCGAAGTCCGTCCCCCTTGCCCCGGTCTCGAGGCGGAGACAGGAGGCCACCGGAGCCCGAAGGGCCCCCTTACCCTGGGGCTAAGCCCCTTCCTGTCCCTCTGAGTAAAGGAGAGGACACACGCCGAAGTTCGAGGAGGTCACACCACTCGGACCACCACCAGAGTCAGAGACACTCTGGGAGGACAAAGACAGGAAAGACAAGGAGAGCTGGCCGTAAACATTTGCGTTTGCACAGGTTGGCAGAGGACCCTACACTAAGGATTCATCGTCCCTTGAGCGGGAATTTTCTGGAGCTGGCTACATCTCAGCCGGGTGCTCTGGATTTGGACAATCTAGGACGTTGAAATGGACCCCTCATTGGAGGGAGCAGAGTTTGAATTGGACGACCCGGACACATGGAGTCAACTTATGATAGAACCAGGTATGGTCTTGGAGGTAAACTTGATGAGTACAGATCTCTTCATCCTGGCCGAGACGTGGGCAGCCTTTCTTGTCCGAAAGGTAGAATTGCAGGTGGATGGATCCGTCATCATCACTGCCCAGACTCTTGGGTGCGAAGAGGACGAGGCAGCAACAGCCGTTGCAGCACGATTTCAAGGAAGGGAGCCGTTGCTACATCTTTGCGCTTCTCGACCGTGTGTAGAGCTGGGTCCGCACCCGGGCACTGCACCGTTGCTGCATGTGACTTGTCTAAGATGGTGGACGGTACGCAACTTTCAAGCTGGCTATCTCTCAAGAGCCGTGCTCAACAAGTTGCCACAGATGGCAAAGGAAATTCAAGGAGGGGACAAACCTGTACCCCGACGGCGCAAGAAGGACGCCGACGCCGACGCTGGAGATGGTGCTGGGCCTCCCCCGCGCATCACGAAAGCAAGAGAGAAGGCAAAACCAAAGGAAAAGGCCAAGGAGAAAGAGGCACCAAAGAAAAAGAAGGCAAAGGAGACAAAGGAGAAGGAGATTACCGAGCTGCAACGAGAGAAACTGCGTGCTCGGTTAGCAGAGGTCAAACGCAAACACACCGGAGAGGGTGGCCCAGCACCTCCGGTGGAGTCAGTGCTGTCCGGCTCGGGCGAAACTGGAAGCGATGGAGAGGAGGAAGAGAGCTTCAGCTATGCACCAACAGAGGCGTTGGACACAGGGACAGTACTACGAGAAGTCCGCCGTGGGAAGGACTACAAGGTCCCTGCTGCAAAGGAAGACAAGCTAGTCCCGTACGAGGGTACAAAAGACAAAGATATGAGGAACTTGAGCGGGCAGCTAGTGAAGAAAGCGCTGGCAGTCAGCCGTGTGCGAGTCAAAGACAAGGAGAAGAAGAGGAAGGCAAAGGGAGGAGGAGAAGGGGCAGTTGCAGCCCTTCGAAAGATCCTTCTGGGGAATACGGAAGGTACCCAGAAGGACAAGGACAAAGACAAGAAGAAAAAGAAGAAGAAAAAGAAGAGGAAGAGGCTAGAGAATGGAGTGATCGTCAGTTGCAGCACCTCTTCCTCAGGTTCCTCGGAAGCGAAAGAGGAGGCCGAGACAAGCGAGGAGAGCGACCTCGAAGCGCCGATGAAGAAAAGATCGAAAAACAAGCCCGGCAGTGTGCTGTCGCTATTGACGGAGCACATCCGGATGCAGATGGAACAAGATGCCCTCACAGAGGTCCCGAAGGAAGGCCGCCAGGTGACTTCGGGCGTGAAGGTGGTCTCCTACTTCAACCAGCACGTCAAACCGAGCTTCCTGAGCCACCAGAAGGAGCTGAGAGAGATGTATACGCTAGGGTCCGCACTAGACCTACTTCGCGCTGGAGACTTGCCGCGTCTGGGCGACGCGCTGTCGGCGCGTTTCATAGCGATACATCAAGCTCTCATAGACCAAAACTGGCAGACGGCCCGCCATATGGAATTATTCCCTTTGGAAGATTCCTCAGCCGCAAGCGCCAGTTTGGTCTTAGCTTCACGGAAGCATCAGAAGCTGGTGGAACGAGTGCAGGGCAAGGGAAGCAATCCAGGCTGGTCAACATGGACACCGAAAGGCAGGCCAAAAGGAAGAGGAGACTGGTACGACCAGGGCGAAGGTCAGACAAAGGGCAAGAAAGGGAAAGGAGATCGAAAAGGAAAGGGCAAAGGCAAGCAATGGAATCAAGGAGGCGGAGACAAAGCTGCCAACGAATGGGCGAAAACACAGGACAAGGGGGAGGCAGCAAAATGACTCCCCCAGGAGAGGATGGGCTGGCCTCGGCCGAGCCTGTCAGGCAAGTTTCACGTGGCTTGGAGAATTTGCAAATGGCTGATCTTTTTATGTCGTGCCATACGTTGACGTCAGCAGGTGTTGCACTGGCATGGGCGTTGTGCAACGCCGAAGAGACATCACGGTTGCAGGGGAACCACAAGTTTATGGATGGTATTTTCAACTCTGGCGCATGGCCCAAGGCCAGGCGGAGACGCCAGGCCTTTCCTATGTCTCTGGGGGATTTTACTGAAGTAGATGTGGTGCTCAAGAAGACCCCTATCGAACAAATCCGTGATGGATCGCTGGCTTTGCAATGGGGCCGACAATGCTGGATAATGGCAGCATGCTTTGCTTGCAATGGACTGGCGGGTGCGCAAGCACCTTTCCGGCCGGGCCGCTGGAGTAAGTCCGAGCGGCGGCTAGCAGAAGCTGTGGGAAAGGCAGTCGACCGATTGCTTGACCTGGGACGTGCTGACCGTTTTGAGCCGGCCGAGATCGAAAAAGAGCTGAGAGGGCGTCGCCTGAACTATGACGGGGAAGAAATAGGAATTTGCCATGCCTTAACCCTAGAACAGGTTCTGCCGGCTCTCCCCCCTCCTGATCATGGTGGTTCTATTGATTTGGTTCGTTTCCTTTCTGAATCGTCGGTTGCTTTTCTTAGACACCCTAGTAAACATGTGGTTGACAATGTTGGACAAGATCTACCGAAGTTGCAGGGGAAGATTCACATTGCTGGAGGAGAAGTAGATGGTATTGCAAGGGAACTGGTACGAAGAAACATTTGCAGTTGGATACCATTGGAATCAGTTCTGTCCTTTAGGGGGGAAAAGGTTCTTAACGGGATGTTTGGTGTGGCGAAATCCTCAACCACCTTAACTGGCAAAACCACCCTGCGTTTGATCATGAACCTTGTTCCGAGCAATGCAGTTTTACGAAGCTATGTGGGCACAGTCAAGTCACTTCCTCAAATAACATCCTGGATGAGTATAACCCTGGAAGAAGGAGAAGAAGTGCGAATCTGGCAGAGTGATATGAGTAATGCATTCTATCTATTTCAATTGCCATTGAATTGGGGACCATACCTTGCCTTCAACATTGTTAGAAATGGACTGGATATTGGTGAAACACCGGGGAAACAATTTGCATTGTCATGTCGGGTATTACCCATGGGCTGGACCAATTCCGTTGCCCTCATGCAAGAAGCTAGCGAGCGAATACTAATATGGGGTTGTTTAGACAAAGCTTCACAGATTTCACGGGGCATCCCATTACCAAATTGGATTACAGGGGTCATTGGCGAAGCAGTTGAGTCTGGTAAAACTTTTTGGCATGTCTATTTAGACAATTTTGCGGCGGGAGAGATAGGGGATGCCACTTCAAGCTTTAATCATGGGGAAGTTCTCCATCAGTTAGCAGAGAAAGCATGGGCTGAAGCAAGGGTAGTGTCATCTGAAAAGAAAAAGAGGACAGCAGTGGTGCAGGCTCAAGAGTTGGGAGCTTTTATCGATGGGCGATCACAGACACTAGGGGGGTCACCAGAGCGGTTAATAAAACTGGCTCAGGCGACCTTATTTTTACTTTCAAAGCCACATCTTTCGAAGAAATTGACTCAAGTCATAGCTGGAAGATGGGTGCATGTTTTTCAGTTTCGTAGGCCAGCAATGGCACTGATGGAGTCTGTCTGGGAATTTACAACACAAAAGGGAATCTGCCCTGTCTTGGTGCGAAAGACACGAAGGGAACTGTTCAGCTGTATTTGTGCCATACCATTTTTGCACACCTTTTTAGGTGCTGAGGTATCTGAAGTTATTACAGCAAGTGACGCATCGATGCGTGGAGGTGCTGTCGGAATGGCCAACACTTTAACTACTGAAGGGATGGATTATGTGCAATCCATCTCAGATTTCCCCAGGCCAAGACGGATCCCAGTATTACTGGTATCTCTCTTCAATGGAATAGGAGGGGCACTACGAGCTTATGATCTGTTGGGTTTGGTTCCGACTGGAATTGTGGTATTTGAAATACACAAGCCGGCAAACAGAGTCACTGGCAAACGCTGGCCTCAAGCAGAAATTATGGGTGATGTCAAAACCTTGAACGCAGAGATGGTACGAGACTGGGTTCAGCGGTATGTACCACTGAAAGAGCTGCATTTGTGGTTTGGATTCCCATGCGTTGATCTGTCTTCAGTGCGTGCAGGGCGGCTTGGTTTGGATGGGCCAAATAGTGGTTTATTTTGGGACGTCATTGACATCATCCGGCTGCTGGAACAAGAACTACCAGCTCACATATCACTGAAATATGTGGGAGAAAACGTTGCCTCAATGAACAAAGCACATTGCCAGGAGATCACCAATGCGTTGGGAGTGAGACCATATCATCTCAATCCAGTCGACGCTGGACCAATGCAGCGACCTAGGCTTTGCTGGACAACGGAGGAGTTGCAAGACACGCTGGATGGTTTGGAATTTGTAGAGCGTGACCACTGGACAAGTATCAAAGCAGAAGCACCCTGGCCCGAAGTTTCCCAATGGATATCACCTGACACAGTCTGGCCGGGTGGCGATGAAGGTCATGCTTTGCCTACAGCAATGAAATCAATCAAGCGAAAACGTCCGCCACCAGCTCCGGCGGGAATTGACAGATGCGACAGTGACACACTCCAACGTTGGGAGGCCGACAATTTTCGGAACCCACCATATCATTACCAAGGACGTTTCATCTTTTGGCACCATGACAGATGGAGATTGTGCAACGCTTCAGAAAAAGAACTGCTTCTTGGATATGGATGGGGGCACACTGAATTATGCTACAGTGCATCAGATATTAAGAGCAACCCCGAAGGATATCAAGATGAACGGCTGAGCTTGTTGGGTGACAGTTTTAGTCTGTTCTCTTTTATTATCCCCGCATATGGGCTCTGCACTAAATATCTTCCCAAATTGGCATATACTGTTCTTGCAAGACGGATGGGAATGGCCCCTGGTTTTTGTGCTGCCTTACAGCTTCAAGCACCAATTCAGCGATATTTACAATATGGGTGTCGTGAGCGGGGATTACTGAAAACACTACAACAGCTCAACAGGATTTTATTAACAAGGGTCAATCATACGGGTTCTGACATCAAGATCACAACGGGAGAAGTGCTTGCACCGAGGGCAGTGCCGCGTCAGTCGGTCCAAGCAGACTGGTGGAATTGGGAGCATCTTTTCACAACACGTTGGCAACACTCTGAACATATAAATATTTTAGAACTGCGATCAATTCTGTTGAGTGCAAAATACCAAATTCTCAACCTTCATGCGGTGGACGCCAGAATCTTCCATGTTACGGACAGTTTTGTTTGTTTGTCAATAGTTGCAAAGGGGAGAACTGGAAGTAGAAGGCTAGGACGGGTGCTTAAAGAACTTAACGCCTGGCTTTTAGGGTTTGGCATAACCATGGTTTTGGGGCACGTGGAAAGCTCCGAAAACCCCACTGATGGGGCGAGCCGCTCAATTGCGCTTTTGCAGCCGGCGCACGAGAGCTGAACGAGTCAAGCAGAGGGCTCATGTCGTGCTCCGTGACGCTGGCATAACCTTGCGTACTCAGACAAGATACTTTATTGCCCTTAGACGTTTACTGCCAGTTTTAGAAAAGAGCAGGACAGTTACTGAGATGGATGCTAATGTTTCTGACTGGATCCAACAGCGGTGGGAGCGAGGAGATTCGCTCCATCAAGTTAGCGATGCACTGTGCGCAATACATCATTGGGAGCCATGGACAAGGCGACAGCTGCCAGAGTCATGGAAGGTTTATGCAGTTTGGCGGAAGCTGGAATCACCTAACCGTGCTCCCCCTTTGACACAACGCATTCTTGATGCCATGGTGATGTATTGTATCGATCATTGCAACCTTGAGTTAGCAGCTGTGTTGGTCTTAGGCTTTTATGCCCTGTTGCGCACAGGTGAATGTCTCCAAGTAAGACCCTGTGACTTGCTTTTGACACCAACCTCAGGCGTAGTCAGCTTGTCTGAAACGAAAACTGGGCTGAGAAATGCAGCTAAGGAAACGGTGAGCCTGCAATCACCGTTGGCCTTGGAAGTTCTGATGGCAACAGTAGAAGCAAAAACTGATTTGGGTTTGGAACGTTTGCCAATCTGGTCCAAATCTGCACAGAGTTTTCGAAATGCCTATGCCCACCATCTCAAAAAGTTTGACCTCATGTCACATGGTTTTAGACCTTATTCTTTGCGCCGTGGAGGTGCGACTGCTTTGTTTCAAAGCACAGGATCCATGGAGCAGGCGCTGCTCAAAGGCAGGTGGGCTTCGACAAAAGTAGCCAAAATATACTTGGCCGATGGGCTCTCCTTCCTCCCTGACCTCCGTCTAAGCAATAAATCAAAGGAAATGCTGGTTAAATGGGCTCCAAACAACGCCTTATAAATGGGCCCTGCCGTGCGTTTCTTGGTTTCAAAACACGTTGTGTTTCGAGATGTGGGGTCGTGGAGAGGATGGTTTTACAAGTGGAAAACCCCTGCCATGGGGAATCAAAAGCCTTTTGAAAGATCCTGCTACGGGATCGAGAAGTTTCATGCGTTTCATGAGTTCCTGCCATGGGAACAGTTTTCACACAAAGAAGGAATCTCAAAAGGAGATGAAAACTGAGGCAGCCGTGGGCAGACAACTCGTCTCCCTAGGCTGAAAAACCTACAGTCATGCGTCAGAAAAACACAAGGCTGAGCCCTATAGTTTCTGCTTGAAGCATAGGGCGATGTTTAGTGTGATTCTGATGCTTCTGGCTCTGTTTAAGGGACCTTTCATAGGCCCAACCCAAATCCCCCCCAGTGAATGGAGAGGATGGTTTTACAAGTGGAAAACCCCTGCCATGGGGAATCAAAAGCCTTTTGAAAGATCCTGCTACGGGATCGAGAAGTTTCATGCGTTTCATGAGTTCCTGCCATGGGAACAGTTTTCACACAAAGAAGGAATCTCAAAAGGAGATGAAAACTGAGGCAGCCGTGGGCAGACAACTCGTCTCCCTAGGCTGAAAAACCTACAGTCATGCGTCAGAAAAACACAAGGCTGAGCCCTATATATATGTATATACATACAGACACAATGGGATATACATCAGATATATGGGTGAATAAACACACCAGAGATTCCTTGGTCCCGCACATCCAAATGTCCACAATGTCACAAATCTCCAAAGCCTGGCCGCATGGAAATATGTTGGAAGGAAAGGAATTTTCGGTCTCCCTGTGGTGAATTCACATTGTTTTCTGGGTCCATCATTTTGATCCATTTAGATGGCCAGATATGGCCAGTATCGTTTTGCCTTAAACAGATCCAATGGATATTAGCAGCGTTTTTTGGCATCAATATGCTGGTTCCACGAATCTTTGGAAAGTATTCTCCTAGAAGTTTTTCTCCACGTTCAGCTTGCAGGCGTGGTGAACATGCATGCGGATGGTGCAGTGTCAGGGAAGTGCGATGGTGCTCAATTCCAGAGCCACTTGGACACGGTGGGTTCCATCGAGAGACCATGTTTGATTTGGAGAATGGTTATCAGCATATAATGAAAGTGGTGTCACGTGGATTGGATATCCAAAATTTAGTGGTGTAGATCCCGATGGTTCGATCTTTGTCCTCCACCGTGGAGTTTTTTGCTTTGCGTGACCCCAAGGCACATACAATACCTAAAGCCTCTAAGCTCTACCCCCCAGAGCACATACTGAGGCAGTGACAATATGATCACCATTGAGAACGACAACGGATGTGGCATTGGCGCTATGGGCCTGGAGTATAAGGCCCTGACCGGGTGTTGTTTTGAGCCTATGTCAGTGAAGGGAAGAAACGTGGCGGTGTCATGAATTCTGGGTACCAAAATTCACAGATGATATGGGTATGGATCAATACCTATACATACCATTTTTAGGGGGATGAACATCCATTTACCAGCTATTTTGATGTTCACCAGGGGTACAAGGTTTTGACACACTGCCATATTTTGAAACATTTGAGCACATTTTGCAGCATCTTGCAGCTTTTTCATCTTCTGGAGCAGGTGATGTACTGCCCGGATCAGGACCATGTCATCGTGAATGTGCCTTGATATGATGCGTTGTCCATCCTGTCAGGCTAGAAGAAGGGGAATCCTGGTGGCTTATGCGTAGATTTTGCTAAGGCATAAGGAACCTTCATAATCCACTGGCATGAAACCATACTGATCAGGTGCTCTTGATCAATGCTCAAAGTCCTGTTGGTTTCTGTTTCATGTTTCTGCCAGGCTTAATGGGCTGATACCGTCCTTTCAGGGGATGGCCGAGGTGATGAAGCCGTTCGATGCGCGCGTGGTCCTCAAGAGTCAGACGTGCCCAGATGCTGGCGAGGTCTAAATCACCTCGTTGGTGCTGGAGCACTGATCTCAGCTGGCCTCATGTGAGTTGAGGGTAGGGATCTGCCAAGACACAGAGCAAAGTCTGGTGTCTTGGCTGGCATAGATTTTGGCGCTGCCCGACACTGGATGGCAACATTTGGCTGTACAACTAGGACCACAACAGCCAAACGATTCATGGATGGCTCTTGTGGGTTGCAATTCAGATGCTGACAACTGACCTGTATGCATGAAATTGACAAGACTCCTTTACTTGTTGCGAGCAAAAGATTGGATGCCGGGTTTCCGCCTTTGAGGGTTCAAAAAATGTCCCTATATAGCGTCCTGTAGCCCAAAAAGATAGCGAGAAGGAAATTGACACTGGATGGAGCCATTCAAGTGATTCCAAATGGTGCTTTGGCAGGCACACATACCCAAGTATGCGCGTGCCTTGTGTTGTGATGATTAGATGCTAGGCATGAGTATGTCCCATCATTATCCTCATTTTAGATGAGTGATGTGCCATTGGTTTCGAAGATGGTAACGTAAGGACCAACCCCAGTGCGCTTCTCGCGTCGTGGGCAGGCGAGAAGGCGAGCCCAGGACATTACAAGAAGGCAATGGCCGATGCCTGCACCATTGGACCATGGGGGATGCCTCAATTTATGGCCGACTGTGCCCGCGTCCTAACTTAGACCCTGGGAACAATAGTCTTCCAGATTCGATTCTGGGTCTATGTTACTTAAGGATACTTAAGGATACTTAAGGGGATTTGGTGAGGAAGACTAGGCTTTAAAGCACCGGATCTTGGGGCCTTGGGGCCTGACAAACTTCTGTCCAACTTCCCAGGATCGTTTCAGATTTAGTCGCACCAACCTTTTGAGAAATCTGGAGCTGTTGGTTTGCGTTTTCTGGAGGCTTCGCCGTAGTTTGTTGAATGTTGACAATCCAGTTCTTGATAGAACCCAAAGAAAACGTAAAGAAACAAGTGCTGGCCCATGAGGTTCTTAGGCCAAAAAAAGGGCTGCACGCTTCAGAAGATGCATAAGAAACCTTTAGGGAAGGGTGCTTCTGATTTCCCAGACATCTCACTGCAATGAGGACATAGGTCATACTACGAACTTACTGGAGGTGATGGTCCAAAGAACAGTCTTAGTTGGGTTTGCAGCCACGAGCGTGCACGTGTGCGATTCTCATTCAAGAATGGGTCTGAAAACAAGCTTTGCAGCTACGATACAGGATAAGCATGCTCGCAAGCTCCTAAGGAGCTTGTCCTGGTTGAACCCTTGAGTAAACCGAAACGATTGGCTCCAAAGTCTTGAACAGTGTCCTGTGCAGGCGCCGCACGAGTCTTCCCGAGGTCTGTTTGGGTGTGGGCGGACGACCATAGAACAGGTTTATTCGGGTTGCTCTATGAAGGTATGGGGCAAAACTGGGTGCTCCCAAGAATGGATTACTATTAAACAGTGTATATTATCAAACCAACAACAGTTTAAAACCAGGACCTCCTCTTTCCCCGCAAGGTCGAAATCGGGAGGAAGTGCCGCGCGATACTCAGAACTAGGGCTGTACCAGAAAGAGAAGGGATATGGCCCTAACATGACTTGATTTGGGTTTGTCTCAAATAGGGAAACCGCTTTGAGACATCGATACCCACAGGTTCACCCACCAATACCCCCAGGCAGATTTGAGGCGCTGCTCCTCTTGCTAGCCACCAACATTCCAGCGCTTGAAACCAGAGGTTTTGGACCTGCTGTAGATATTTGTGTACTGTAACTATAGATTCTCTCAAATGATTTTAATGGTTTGCAGTATGGCAAGCAAAGAGAACCAGGAACAGAAATCCATAATGCACATTAAACACATTGACCCCCACTAATTCCCATAACCCAAATTAGCCCCCATCAGCCATCCCAAGGCCCTATCAGCGGCATGACCCACGCGGTTCGCATGAGCGGGGGTTGCCACCGGCAGAGAGCGAATCGCCGGGGGAACCCAGCCTGTTTGGACCACCAAAGTTGGGTTGGTAAATCATATAATTCTAGAGTCTAGAGGATTCCTGGGGATTCTACCAACCAATATTTTGGGAGATTTTCGTAATCTGTTCGGCGGAATCCCGTTCTTAACCAACCAGTAGAATGAAACGACAGAAGGGTTTTTGAACACTGCTCATCTAATTTTTTTGGGGTTGATAGTTTTGACAGTTTTGACCCATACCCAAGTGGTTTGCAAAGAAACCCGAGATGCATTTGTTGTTTCTTTCTCTCCTTCAGATCCAACCCTATGAACTGTGAAACGGCTGCCATATCATCAAAGGGCATATCAGATTTGCTGCATCATGTTTTCATATTCGTGATGTTGCATCAATGAAATATCGCCAGACACACACACACACACATGTATGTATGTATGTATGTATGTAAGTATGTAAGTATGTATATATATATGATATGTATATATGTTTATCTAGACAGTTAGATGATTGGATTTGGATTAGTTTGGATTGGACTCGATTATACAGATACTATAGATGGCTTACATATGGATACATTTGAGCCATTCAAGATACCCTGGTTGATGTGTTAGTGGAGTTACAATGCCACCAAGGCTATTGGGGATTATGATAACCCATGGCTCATTTGGTCATTTCTGGCGAACGACCGGCAGCTTCCAGGCAAAGTGCGAGTTGGGGAGCTCAGAGTGTTTCACCAGAAATGGTGTGATTTCCGGCCCCAAGATGGTCGGATAATGTGGTAAACCCCATGCCACAAGCCATCCCTAATATCCCCAGTAGGCTTTTTGGCTGCCAGGGTTTACCACAGCTACTTTTATGGTTGCCACGAGGCTCACCCGCGCCGGAACCCCCGGAACCCAGTGTCGTGCGGAGCCCTATCCTGTTGGCGTTTGGATTTGACTCAAGCATAAAGGAACCTCTGGCAAACTGCATGATGGACAAATTGTATCGTTCTGCTGGTTTGCGGGGTTCCGGGCAGAACAGGAAAAGGAACTTGAGCCTCTGGAAACAAATCCATGGGTGTTTGTAATGGGGTTTGGTGTATGCGGGCAGGATGTCCCTTCCCCCCTGGTTAATTGGTTGACAAGGGATTGCCCCTTATAGCAAACTATAGGTGAATGGATGTAGCTGGCATAATCCCTTCGCCCTAATATCACAAACCGGGAAGCCATTCGATATACTTGACACTGGATCTATTTTCTTGTGGGTCCCATACTCAGGGTGTTTGACATTGAGGTGGAATGGGATTACCATTCTTTTTTGAGTTAAACATTATTAACCATTATTAACCATTATTAACCATACAATCTTTGACCCTGAAACAGTTGTTCAAGGGGTATGGGATGCAATGGCTACGCCCAAAGTGGTCTCAGGCTCCATCCCGCGATGCCCGCGATGCTCGGGATGCTCCTCAGGCATATTTTCTGAATGCCTGGAAGCCCGGGTTTCAATGGGGAGACTTGCCAAACACATGGTTTCGATGATGAATATGAATCAACCAAATTGGTATCCATATTCCATGGTATTGATACTAAATATGGATACCATGGAATATGGATACCATATCAATCAATCAACCAAATATGAATCAACCAAATTGGTATCCAATGGGGTCGACCCCTCTGGTGAATCATATTGTCATATTCCTCATTGAACTTACCATAAATGGGGTATGCCTTTGTCGCTGAGGCCTACAACCGCAGGCGGCAAGAGCGCGCGCGGCAGGAGCAGGAGAGACACAACGACAGGAAGGACGAGGGGAACAATGAGTTTGATGCCCAGGGAAGCAAGGGGTGCATGACAGTCATTCGAAACAGTCTGACATCATGTTTCTTTGGCACCAAGATAACATTTGTTTATAAGCTGACCTATAGACTAAATTTCTGGAAGCATGGTACCTCAGAGAGGCAAGGCTGCACGGCACGCTGTCTTGCGATCGAAGAAACATGTTGACACACTCAAATATCAGACAGCAAGCGAATTCATACGAGTCACGACCCCCCGAGAGAAGGACATGAAGGATGAATGTAATTGAGGTAATGACGGAATCCACCAAGAAACTGATGAATTGTTGTGGATTGGACCCTTCAGCCCAATCAAGCTGAAAGTATCTGAAAGTCACCCAGATGTAAGGCCTCCTCCTGTGCGGCGTACCGATGAGCCTTTGCGGTAGGGGTTTCCTAAGTGTGGATGGCAGGTGGGAGAGAACAAAAGAAGTTGGGGAAGCCTCTTAGAGGTATCCAGTTCTTAGAGATAACTGCAAGATATGACTGTCTTGGAACCTTCTTTGGAAAAATATACCGTTTCGCTTTTCTGAATGGCAGAATTCTAAGTAGCCATTTTGACCTCGTCCAACTGTTCAAAGTGGTCATCATGGGAACATCTCTGACTGATGGACCAAATGGGAGCTTCCCAAGTTGCGACCACCATGCAGCACCAAAGTGAACTCACACCTCCAAATATGACCAACCAGTTGGGTCCCTGCCAACACTCAAACATTTGCGGTTGTTTTCGCAAACAACTACATTTAAACCTACATAGACTGACAATGTAGATACATCACAATACATTTACATCATCATAGAAATTTCATTTACATCATTATGATACACATTTACATATACTGTATATATATATATTTACATTATGATACATGTTTTCTGAACATCTTTTCCAACAACCTCCCAGGCGCCGGGGCTCCGACCGCCGAGAGAGGGTCGAAGCCGAACGCCCCGTGTCACGGCGGCGGGAGGCAGGGACCTCGGGACCGGTGCCGGTGAACCGGAGCTCGTTTTGGGATTTTCATCGATGTTCAACAATGAGGATGTGGATTTTCAGCAGCAAATTCGAATTTTTTAGCATATTTTTGAGATATTTTGGAGCAATATTTTAACATATTTTCAGCAATTCGACCGACATTAAGCTGGTCATCAAAAACAAGTGGAGTTGGTCACCTGATGTGTTTGCTCGCAACGGCCCATCCCGCAATCCAAGCCTTTTGGCTGGTCATATTTCAACCCAAAAACGTGATCTCAACTTACCACATCGCTTTCTTGTGGCCAACAAACTTGAATGATAATTTTGTGTGTTTTTTTTAGCTTGGTCTTGTGATGTCTTGTCATTTTATTGTTCCATTCTCCCAGCAAGTTAGGAAATTTCCTCCCCCGTCTCCCCAGTCGCCACTTGTGCCATTCCAGTCGGAGGAACCGCCGAGACAGCCGAGACACCAAATTCCATCACGGCAGATTCAGGAGATCCATGGGATCGGAGGGTTGAAGTCCCATCAGATTCAGTGCTAAGAAACCATGGTTCCGTGTGGATTCTACCTCAAAGCAAATGAAGAGATCATAGAGTACTTAGTATACTTAGTATACTTAGTATACTCAGTATACTCAGCACGGTGCCCATTTTGATGATTTGAAAACTATGAGCACCGGGTTGAGTAGTACTGGTCCAGTGGTTTCCATAGGTTTTAATTCGTTTGGATTCACCGGGTTGATCAATACGATCCCCAAATCCACCAGGACATGAAAGAAGTGATGGATCGACAAGCCGAAGAAGAGTTGGGAGCCTCAAAGCTTCAGAGGGTCAAAACCGTGATTTTTTCTCCTGGAAAAGCATGGAAAAGCATGGAAAAGCATGGAAAACGCATGGAGATGCAACATGATATCACCAGAAACAATGAGTTTCCTTTTTCCAGGATGGGGAAAGATTATCGATGTTGACCATCAGGCGGAGGCAAGTAGAAGAGCTGAAGCGCCGAGCCGATGAACGTATCTGGGACATCACCAAAGACGGGGAGATCACCTAAGGATGATGTGTGCTGTGTGCGTATGGAGAAATGATGTGTGTCTACATAGGACCTAGGACATACATGGATATACAAATTAATATGTAAATGATTATGTAAATGATGGAACCCAAACTTGGGCTGAACATCCCAACATGCCATCGCAGGAACATTTGATGCCAGCAGGGGAGCAAGGTTTTGACCAACAGGGGTCAAAATGTGATGGTTTGATATTCTAGAATTAGACAGTTGAAATTGGGCTTATCGCTATAATTTGGTGAGAACAACTTAACTTAAGCCTGTCCTGATTTCATGTACCATCCCAGTAGGTGCTGGTTTGTTGGCGTTTGGCTTCAACAAACTGCCATTGGGATCTGTTGTACATTGATACCATACGGCAGTAGCCGTCGATGAAACGTTCACAGCCGAGGAAAGAAGAGGGAAGAGGAGTTCCAGCGGAAGATGCAGAGTATCATGGAGAAGACCAGGGAGTCTTGTCCTCAGGAAATCTCCAGAAATGGCTGAGGCAAAATGACTTCAGAGTGTGTCCAACAGGGCTACCTTGACCCTTGACCAGTGATATCAGTGATATCCCACCCAACAGTGGGCAAACATCAAAGATCTATTTCCAACGACCATGGAAGTGGCACATCCCAGAGCTGCATTTCAGTCATGTCCAGTCATTTTTTTCCCCAACCAAAATATCAAAAATAACCCTTACCGAAACCATCCAGATTTGGCTCAGCAGTTTTGACTCGGTGCAGCCGCCTCCCACGATGTCCCGACGTTCCATGATCGTTGCAGCGGGCTGCGGTGCCACGTTGTTGGCAGCTCCCGGCTTCGTGGCCCCCGGTGCCCCACAGCGCACCACGACGGAGCGCACCACGACGGAGGAAGGGCTGAGATCGGTGCTGAGGGAAGCAACCGCCGCACCACGTGGATCAGGTGCCACCAGTGGGACTGGAGACCTATGGCACCAATGTGGGCGTGGAAAATGGGGTATCGGGAAAAAGCCGTATAGCCCCCATAGCCCCCAATCAATGGCACTTTTCATGGAGAAAATGGTGATAATAAAATTTGGACATACCCTATTTTTCAAAACCGTATGGAACCATGGTAAGCATGGTTATCATTGAAAAAACATGTTAATGAAGAGTCACAACCATAGCCATGGCATGCCATTAGCTTTTCGCAGGAGCTTCCCTGGGCGCCGTTGCCATGCTGGGCGGCTGCACTGCCCTGGCTTTGGCCGGGCGCCGGGCGAGGCGCGGGAACTCCCGGGCCGCGACTGCCACAGCGCGGGCCGCGGAGGGACCGGTGCTGACGCTCGGGACGCGAGGATCGCCCTTGGCCCTGGCGCAGGCCTATGAGGCCAAGAGACGTTTGGGTGAGGCCAGGCCCTGTCAGAGATACGCTGGGATGGTTTTCGCTGACCTAGGAGCTCTTTGCGACGTCGAACTAGCATTTGCATTTTGAGATGCATCTTGAGATGCATCATCCATCAAGAAGATGTCTATGGCTGAAACTTCATGCCCTCCAAAACTGCTTCAGTACCAAACATGTTCACTTTGATTCAGTTTGTAGGTGCATTGAAAACCCGTTTTGGGCAGGCCTTTCCAGAGCTGGCCGGTGATGATGCAGTTGAGATCAGGATCATCTCCACCACAGGCGCATGTGCTGAGCTAAGGGTTGTGTATTAGCTGGGCAAAAAGGGGAAGGTAGGGTGGATTTGTTGCAGTTCTTGCTGATAAGGATGGTGGAAGATGACTTGTCACCAGTCTCACTAGACCCTGGGACCCTTTTTCACTGTTTTCAGCTGCACATGGACCGATCCTGAAGATAATCGCATCCAGTACCAGGCCATTTGTTTTGGGTGCTTCCTGATTAAAATCCAGGAAGATATTCCCTTGCAATGGCAATCCCCGCATTTTTGCTTCTCAAAATCATGTGGCTGCTACATCCATTTGTCTTGCTGAAAGAATCATTTCTGATAGTATTTTTTTCCCAACATTTTTGCTGCAGGAGATCAACGCCTGGAGATTTCCTTGGCAGAGATTGGTGGCAAAGGTCTCTTCACTCGAGAGCTTGATGTGGCCCTCGCCAGCAAGGAGGCGCCGTCATCTCCAAGAATGGATGGGATGAATCCAAAACATGCTACATATGGGCCATATGGGTCTCTGTACACCATTTTTGGAGCCATTCATGGGCCATTCGATCCTTGAGGCCTTGAGGTGTGTGTTTTGGTGGAGTCCTTGTTGAGGCAACCAGTGGGATGAAGCAACCGCCAGGTGGACTTCTGCGTCCATTCCACCAAGGATGTGCCGACAGAGCTCATTCCAGACACTGAGCTGTGCACCATGTTGCCACGAGAGGAGTGGGTCATGGGATGTCATGGGTCAAGATTTTTACCCCACCAAGATACACCAAGACCTTGCCCGCATTTTTGGGGCATTTCTCAGAGTTTTGGCTGAATCCGAGATCACAAGTCAAGACAACTATTTAGGTTCCTCCAAAGCTTGCCTACCATTGAGAGTTACAAGATGTTACAAGAGCAATTTCGAGTTTTTTGACATTTCAAGGTGATTCATGGGAAATTTCGTTGACCTGCTAGGATTGGCCACTAGTTATGGCAAGCAATGGGGTGATAATCAACCTTCGTTAGAATCATCATCATGGAGACACGAGAAAACCGATCCATATTTCTCCAGTAGTCCCTTGAAAGCTCTGATATTGGCTTTCCACGTGACGCCTCTGGTATATGGTCCCTAGTTGTCCCTAGGCATTTGAGGTTCCTTGTGAAATCCGCGCTATAAATCGCCATGAAACACTAGGGGGATGGTGCAGGACACCAGAGACGTGCTGATCAGTGGAGACCCAGAGAAGATCACTTGCATCGAGGACCGCTTCCCACTCGGGTAGTCCATGTTAGCCCAAAGTGTGGGGGATTCCAATGTGGTTCGGGTTCGAATATCTTGGTTCTGATTTTCACGGGTTCCCGTGTAGGTTCCGGGATTGGTTCCGGATGGTTCTCGAGTCTCGAGATTTTGGTGGTTCCGAGGTGGTTCCTGTGTAGTTCCGGAGCTTCGGGTGCGGGGTCAGTTATGGATTCGGCTATGGGTCTTCGCCAGGGTTGAAACTTGATACTAGGTTTTAACAGGCTGCTGTCATTCTTTCCTACCACCTTGGCTGTTGGGGATACTGCCAGGGCTTATTTCAATGGCAATTTGAATAAGGAGAAATTTTTCATGATTTCTGAACCATTGGACGTTGGGGATCTACCCAATTTCTGGCTGAACTCATTTTGTTCATTCATATTTTCATATATTTTCTGTTGATTGAGATCCATTTTTTTTTCAAATCCTTCCTGTTTTGAGGACTTTCCTGATGGAAGCTTGATCGGCACTGCGTCCCTGCGACGACAGGCAGGGCAAGCAGTGCACATCCTGTGTAGTCAGTGATTCACAACCTCACAACTGTCTGGTTATACCTTATAACCATTTATAACCCATACATGTCCACATGTATAAAATATGCATATATACACATAACAATCATAACAATCATAATAATCATAATAATCATAATACATATTAATATAATATATAGATATATTATGATATATGATTCTTGCTCCTTGTGTCGTGTCCCCTCTCGTACGGGTTTCTCCCTGTCGGGCCCAGCCTGGAGCTGAGGCGCAGATTTACAGCAAGAACCCGAACGTGAAATGCGTCAACTTCCGAGGGAACGTGCAGACCAGGCATGGGGGTCTTGTTTTGGAGCTCCTATTGTTGAGGATGAAAACTCAAAAGTTGAGGATTTGGTAGAACAAAACAAGGTTTCTTTTAGTGTAGAAACCCCTATTAAAAAAGGGATGGTTTCTTCTGGTGGCATATGGTATCCCGAAATTTGCCTCCACGGAGATGGGCAAGGCTGAGAAAGCTTCAAGGTGGTGATGTGAAGGGAACATTTCTGGCCTATGCTGGCTTGAAGCGAATGAGCATGGAGGACTGGGGCGTCGTGGTCAAAACTGGGGGGCTGACTCCCAAGCTGCATTGCTTCGTTTGAATGGTAGATAACTGGCAGGGCTTGGTAAATGGTCAAATTTCAAACGGATTTTGAACATCGCCACAACTGGTTACCTCCGGAACAATGTTACAGTTTTGCTCTGGAGAACCAGATTTTCCCTATAAAAAAATATAAAAAGATGGTGGATTTTCCATGGCAAGGTCGCAAGATTTAGCCATTGAAACATGGTGATTTTCGGTCGCCGGTCGCGTCAACGATTTGCGTCAGGAACATGCCACCAAAGTCCTGGAATGGGATGAGATGCTCCCAGCCATTGCCCAAGGTGACCGGTACCACGGGGTACTTTTTTGGGTACCAAAAGGGGTTTAAGGTCAGGATTCTTTTTTTATGTGATATGTGATATGTGTTTCTTGGGTTCTTTTTTTGCTGGTGAGATCCGATGATAAAAACATATACCCTCTGGTAATTTAACATAGCTATGGAAAATCACCATTTTTAATGGGAAAATCCACTATAAATGGCCATATTCAATAGCTATGTTAAATTACCAGAGGGTAAAAACTATTTCAGAGGATTCTGCACCTCGCAACAATTTTAAAGGCGTATTTCTTGTCAGGTGCCATTAGCTTCCAATGCCGCTCGGATGATGAGCGCGTCTTGAACTACTTGAAGCCCCTGTCGCACGACGACACCTTCCAGGTGCGGACAGCATGTTGTCACAACGGCACAATGGACTGATTTGATCCATTTTGATCCATTCGGTCTTTATCGTCTTTCACTGGGGCATCTTCAACGCATTTTTCTGTGAAACAGTTGGTGAAAATGGAACAGACAGTGTGACCAAGAAGCGAGGTCGTTTTGCCAGCGAAGGGGGAAAGTGAGATGACAGCTCCTTCCGAAAAGAGTGTTTGAACTCCCTCGCAGCTATGGGTATGTCGAAATTTCTCAGCACTTCTCTCCTTCGGACAATCAGCCCATTTTTGGACCTGTCCACTTTGACACATGCCAGGCCGTTACCTGCGAAAGAGCTTTCCTGGCAGCCTTGGATGGAAATTGCAAGACGCCCATTGCAGGCTGGAGAGTAACAGGATTAGAACCCAGGATTACGAAACCTTTGGTTTGTTAAGTCGAAAGGGGTATATACTGTATACAATTTCCAAATTCTTTGATATTGACGAGTTGGCAACTTTAACATTTCTATATTTCTTCTTTTAAAACTCTTGAATTGATTTCCAAATGTCTTTGATCTTCATTTTTCCCACTTTTTCCCACTTCTATATGTTTAACATCTTCACATGAATTCACATGGTGCCACTTTGTAACGCCCTCAGTGCTGTCCCAGGTCAGGCGAAGGTGATCGACGGCGAGTTGCACCTCAAGGGCCTGGTGGCGTCGCCCGATGGGCAGAAGATCTTCCGCTGCGAGCGCAAGGGCAAGGTGTCCGGACGGCCCAGGGCTCCAGGGGGCGATGGATGATGCCAGGAAGCGGATAGAGATGAGCATCCTGGATTCTAAAAAATACCCAGGATCTATGGGCCTGTGCTCATAGATCATCTATTTCGTCAATTTCTATATCATTCTACTTAGGCTGTATCCAACATCTCCGTCTATACCAATCTATCCAATATCTCCACATCTACACCCCAAAAAATCGCCACAGACACATCGTTCCCCGTTCCCTGACCTCGTCCTCTGCGGTCGTGAGGTCCGAGGCCACTGAGATTGGAACGGATGCGGGGCTGGAAATCCGAAAAGAAGCGGGAGAGGCGTTCTTCCAAGAGATGCAGGATGGAATGGGATGGGATGGGAATGTGGTGAAACACAATGACACATGGGATGAAAAATCAACAGGCCCAAATGGGTTTTGTTGGCATGAATTTCCATTGTCCATGAGAGTCTATGGTGAAATTCTTGGGATGGCAGTTCGAATGGGGGGGAAGAATGGGGATGGGACAAAAACCTATTTGGAGATGCTGAAATTAGAGGAAGACAAGCACCACCTGGAGGATTCTGTCTCTGTGTGGGTATTGTACTCACCTCGAGAAAACATCATGGGTTCCCATGAATGGTGGCTTGGAACGATTGACCTTCAATCAACATTTCTAGGTGTGAATCAATATCTGAGGCCATAGAATACCTAGAGTCCTAGAGGTTTTCTTCATGTTTAATACCAAACCATCCAGTATTCCATTCTTAGGACTTCATCAGTTTGATTCATACGTACCGCAGCTGTGTACAACACACTTTTTACACAATATATGATTGTATATATATATAATTATATGGTATCTATCTTTTTTCCCCAATTCAAACTGCCGGCCTCTCGAGCGCAACAGCGAGCAACAAACGACAGCGTAGAGCTAAATTAAATGTGCAACGTCAAATCAACAGGTGCCCGGGTCGCTGTTTCCTGCTGATTCACATACATACATACATACATACATGCATGCATGCATGCATGCATGCATGCATGCATGCATGCATGACATACATACATACATACATACATACATACATACATACATACATACATACATACATACATACATACATACATACATACATACATACATACATACATACATACATACATACATACATACATACATACAGGATACACACACACACACTCAACATGTACCAACTCAGGATATTTTGACCCATCGTCGCATCTTGCAGCGAAATTTTTGACACAAGACAATGACAGCCCTATGAGAATGGTCAGTTTCAAAAAAGATACCGCCGCACCTGCTGAGGTATTGTTTCGACGGGTCGGCAGACCCAGGAAACAATGAACGCAAAACACCTTGACTATGATATGGTGCAAAATTCGTGATGACCAAAGTGATTTCAACAACTCCAATGCACAACTTGCTCAAATACTGCAATCAGCTATCAACAAAGAAATCTAGCAACGTTTCTTACCAGGCTGTATCCTGGACATCGCAACTAAGTCGAACTAATCTATAGTTCTGCTACAAGGAGTTCCTGTACTGAGAGGCAATGCTGCGGGGAGCCTACGGGTATGGCACCTGCTTTTCCAAGTTAGTTTCACATCCGTTTTCACAAACCATACCTATGGCACGCAAGAAGAGAAGAAGATATACACACAGATGTACGCACACTTGCATTGCACATGCCATGCCCACCTAATTCCCGAAATGGTGGATGGAGTTCAATGGAGTTCTGCTTCCGGGAGTTGGCACGTGTATTTCCAGCCACCGTCGCTGACCAGGACTACGTTCAAGAAGTGGCTGCTGCAAACACGTGTCTCGATCGTGCGCATGGCTTGAATGTGTGGTTAATCCATGTTAATCCCCCAAATTGGGTCTCACAATTAAAATTAAAATCGCAGTTTTAACACCAAGATATTGGGATTTCAGCAAGATACGAACAGGGGATCTTCAGCAATTAATCCATTCCATCCAATCATGGTGCCATAGCCCCCCTGAAAAGACACCTGTTTTTTAGTGTTGGATTGGATGGATCAACCGTTGCTTGGGACCAGACCCATGGAGGTGAAGCCTTCATACCCAGCATCCAAGGAAGCCAGTGCGAGGTTGAGCGTCCAGAACAAAAAAAAAACGAGGCTTGGTTGGAACAAAACGATAGGGGTACTGATGCAGGGCGTTTTTTGATGGGCCGGGCTTTCTCAGTCGACTTTGGA